GATGGATGGATGGATGGATGGAGTTTTGTCAAACATGATGCATACAAACGGAAAGATATATTTCAATTTGATTAAATGATTTTATCAAATTAAGAGGGTCTGTACACAATAATCAGTGAGATGTTTCCTCTTATTTTGTTCAAACTGTCACACAGTTGCAGCTCTGCCTTCTACAGTGTGCAAACTGGAGAATCACTGATCCCAGTTGCCCTAAAACAGTATTGATAGTGTGCAAGTTCTTTATCTTTACTTATTAAAATTGTCTTTTTGTGTCTTTAGTGGGGACCAGTGGGCTTGGAGCTGAGAGCTGAACCAGTGTGGCAATCAGAAAGCAATGAGAAATGTACAGACACATAGTTGGTTTTGTTTGTTTGATGGGGTTGTTGACAATAAGAGGAATAGCTGCAAGCGTATCCTTTCTTTATCACTAAATAGTTCACCAAAGGACAAAAGGTGTCGCATGAATTCCTTCCTTGTCTGTGTTCTAGGGCTCTTTTTCATGTGCAGGGTGAATGCTGAAAATTTTCTTTGTTCTTGTGCTTCACCTTTACTGTCCTGTGAAATACCACACCTACAGTTACTGCTCTTCATCTGTCTCCTCATCCCTTCACCCCCACCCCCAATTTTCTTTAACTATTCCCTTCTGCATTAATCCACCAGTCTCTTGATCAGGCTCTGGAGTTAGACTGGTGTTCTTGTGGCATACAGGCAATTTGCCTTGATTATCATGTAAGAGTTCAATGAGGGGGAAGGGAGTCCATGTGCCATGCGTTAAAGAATTTATTGTGATTTGAACAGCTCATTAAGAACCAGTTCCTTTTTGAGTCAAATACTTGCTGCATATAATGTTCTTAGTGAGGGCAAATAAAACTTCTGTATTGATGCTGAAAAAATAAAATATTTAATGCATAATAAAGATGAGAGGTGGCTCAAAAGTACAAAAATAAATAGATAAAGGGTACGATACAGAGAAGATTAGCATGGCCCCAGCTGTCTGTTATTGTTCCTGTAGATATGGCATATTTCATTGCTGTGTAAGTTCAGAAAAGCTTCTTGGAATCTGCTCTCTCTAGGGAGTTATTAGGTGTGAGATAGCAGAGGCTGAATCTATGCTCTCAAAGTACATAAAAGTGCAGTGAGTGACAATGGTGCATTATTGATAATGCCATTATCTCCAAGGGCGGACTTTCTTTAGCTAATCCCAAAGCAGACATGTGCACAAGAGCTTTTTGTTGGCTCAAACCTGATCACAACTGTAATTTCATAAAATCACAGCCTTATACACTTATTAAAAAATTCTCTCTAACTTGTCCTCATGACCACAGTTTTCACTCCTTTTACATAAATTTTTCACTGAATTGTAGATTTGTGCTCATCTGTGCTCTTCCTGAGAGTAAAACTGTGGAAGCAAATGGATTCACAAAAGATGCACAGTGAGCTGCAGAGTGACACGAGTGCTGACCAACTGCCACATGGACTCCTATGTGAACAGTAGGCAGGTGGTCATAATGTTATGCCTGATCAGTGTAACTACAGTAGATGACAGAGGCCTGTTTGAAACTGAAAACAAGCAAATGTTACCATTGAGATATGTCCATTTAGAGGCCATTACACCCATCTGATTCTGCTTGGTAACTCTTGGATCTTGTTAGTGGTTTTTAAGGTTGGTTGCACCTTGCTTGCTTCTGCAGCCAGTCTAAAAGCAGGGATGAAGGGCACCAGACCTCTGTCATAGGAGAAAACCTGACCTTGAAGGGGTGAACCTTTCATCTTTTAACAGCTCTGTCCTCACTAATGGCCTTTTCGTTTACATTAGATACAAGTGTTTATCATGATCCACAATGCATGCCTTCTGTATATCAGTGAAGAAGATTTATGTCTGTGTAATATCTGTGGTTGTCTGATGCTGTATGTGTTTTTCTGATGGTTGTGTATATTGCTTTGTATGTACTGTATACTGTATGTGTGTTTTTGTTGTTATTTGCATTGTTGTATTGTTGTGTCAGTGTATTTGTTTTTTGTTTTGTCTGGCTGTGTGTGTGTTTTCTTTTCTTTCCATGAGCTGTATTCATCTCAGTGAGATTATCTCGTTAAAGAGGTAATGAAGAGCTAAATAACTTTTTTATATGAATTAATTATGTCACTTTTCACACTACCAGCTGATTGTGAGGACATCCAGAATTGTGTCTTTTAGTCCAAAGAATGAACACATCTATGATAGTGTATTCCACACACAAACAACAAGCTTTGAACCATGGTGTTGACTGAACATGTGATATGGGTGTGTTCAAGTGAAAATGGGGCATTAAGTTGATTTTAAGGAATTCATATTAATTTATGTCAGGTCAACTATTCAGGACATATTTGTGTTGAGTATCATTTGGCATAGGGCTGGATCTGTGCAAAATTCCACGTATGGGGGTGGCTGTTTTGTTAAGTGTCATTAAAACAATTAATCTTAACTATCCTCATGGCAGAGAAACTGGAATCAGCCAATATTTGGGAGTTTTACTTCGTAAATGACCGAAACAATTAACTTGCTGATGAACCAATTAATCAGCTAATAGTCTCCATCAGTAAATGAGACAGAAATTGACCAGAATCAACTCTAGAAAAGCTGTGCTGGAAACATCAATCTCTAAGCCTGTTCTTTCTTTATGCTGTGTCCTCAGGAGCTGGCTGACCTTCGCCACGTTCACGCTAAGCTGAAGAAGCAGTTCCAGGAAAAGACCGCTGAGCTCGCCCATGCCAACCGGAGGGTGGAGAGCCATGAGGCTGAAGTCAAAAAGCTACGCCTGAGGGTGGAGGAGCTTAAGAAAGAGTTAGGACAGGCTGAAGATGAGGTGTGAACATGGCTATATGTGTATTTGTGTATGTGATGTTGAAAATGCATGGCAGTCAGAGACCATCATGCTGCCCTTCACTTATTCAGAACCATCCTCTTGACTGTCCCACCAGTCCAACACAGCCAAATGTTCAGGTCTCTTTACAGGAATCGATTAAAGGAAATGCAACTCAACAAATAACAAAACAATAGTAAAACAACATATACAATGTGCATCAGGGCAAGCAACATGAGCCTCCTAAAACATTCCAAATAAACTTAAATTTGATTAAACACTATTGCCAGAAAGTCAACACAGAGATGAGTCGTCTTGATTATCTGGTTTGTAACAGTAACTCTACATAGTTCTATTTACAGGGCCACCAACTAGTTTTTGGATAGCCACTAGAAAACTATACATTTGGCTCCAGTGAAAAAACACATTTGTTACCTGTCATCTCATATATAGAATGATTCTATTGTACTTCCCCAGAGGTTACAGACCTAATAAAACATACTATAAAATGCTTTGATTAGACTGTTTGGTCTGAAGTGCAACACATACCAGCCACCTCAAGTAGCACTACCTCATTTGACAGCAGCACACAGCAGACACTTTTATCTAGGGAGAAAATGTGATAATATCACTGCTTTGTACACCTTTGCCACTGTGTGTGTGCTTTTGCATATTTAGTTGGACGAGTCTCATAACCAGACCAGGAAGCTGCAGAGGTCTCTGGATGAGCAGGTGGAGCAGACTGAGAACCTGCAGGTACAGCTGGAACACTTGCAGTCAAGGTAAGACACAGACACACACACACACACACACACTGCTGCCAATGCAGGATTTTGAACAGATTTGAGGTCACTGTGCCAGTGGGAGCAGAGGAAGCATTCTTTACATAAACTGTTTAACAGTCGGATGGTACATTCTCACAGGACATGTGAACTGAATAATACTCTTCATTTGATGTCATTTTCTACATTACACCTCTACTTGACATTATGCATTTGAATGACTTGGTTGTAGATTGAAATGGTTTGGACATGTGCAGAGGAGGGATAGTGGTTATATTGGTAGAAGGATGTTGGAGATGGAGCTGCCAGGCAAGAGGTCAAGAGGAAGGCCAAAGAGGGATAGTGGTTATATTTTTTAAATTTTTTTTTTAAGTTTCTTTCAAGCATGTAAGACTAAGAAAATTGATATTGCAAAAAACAAAATTGATTAGACATTTCAACAAATACGCATAAGACATCACAACATTCCAATAGTACATGCTTGAAAGGGAGTAGGAAGAAGTATACACTTATCTAGTCCTACCCCCTTTCTTAGACCATGGTACCATATTGGTAGAAGGATGTTGGAGTTGGAGCTGCCAGGCAAGAGGTCAAGAGGAAGGCCAAAGAGGAGATATATGGATGTGCTAAAAGAGGACATGAAGTTAATTGGGGTGAGAGTAGAGGATGCTGAGGATAAAGTTAGGTGGAAACAGATGATTCGCTGTGGCAACCCCTAATGGGAACAGCCGAAAGAAGAAGAAGAAGAAGAGGTGGCTCAAAAGTACAGTACAAAAATAAATAGATAAGGGGCATCTCTCACTCTTCGATCTGGGCTTGTCTGTTATTGTTCCTGTAGATATGGCATATTGCATTTCTGTGTAAGTCCAGAAAAGATTCTTGGTATCTGCTCTGTTTATGGAGTCATTAGGTGTGAGACAGCAGAGGCTGAGGCTGAATCTATGCCCTCAAAGTACATAAACGTGCAGTGAGTGACAATGGTGCATTATTGATAATGCCATTATCTCCAAGGGTGGAATTTCTTTAGCTAATCCCAAAGCAGATGTGTGCACAAGAGCTTTTTGTTGGCTCAAACCTAATCACAACTGTAATTACATAAAATCACAGCCTTATACACTGATCAGCCATAACATTATGACCACTGGCAGGTGAAGTGAATAACACTGACTATCTGTTACAGTGGCACCTCTCAGTGTCTGTGTGTGAGGGGGGGTTATTAGGCAGCAAGTGAACATTCAGTCCTCAAAGTTGATGTGTTGGAAGCAGGAAAAATGGGCAAGTGTAAGGATCTGAGTGACTTTGACAAGGGCCAAACTGTGATGGTGAGATGACTGGGTCAGAGCATCTCCCACACTGCAAGTCTTGGTGGGTGTTCTTGGTCTGCAGTGGTTAGTACCTACCAACAGTGTCTAAGGAAGGACAAATGGTGAACTGAAGACAGGGTCATGGATGCCCATGGCTCACAGATGATGAGGTTGATCTACTGTAGATTAAACTTTTAACTTTCATTTGTACTTTTCAAAAGATTAAAATTTGTTTGAATCTTTGTTAAAATAGTTGAAAATGAGAAATAATGTACATTGGTCTCTATGAAGAGAGAGTCAGGGGCTGTAGTGGTGATATCACACCTAGAGTGGTGAGGCTGTTGGATTGGTCTAAAAAATTCTCTCTAACTTGTCCTTACGACCATAGTTTAGTAACTACAGTAGATGACAGAGGCCTGTTTGAAACTGAAAACAAGCAAATGTTACCATTGAGATATTTCTGTTTAGAGGCCATTACACCAATCTGACTCTGCTTGGTACATCTTGGATCTGCAACCAGTCTAAAAGCAGGGATGAAGGGCACCAGACCTCTGTCATAGGAGAAAACCTGACCTTGAAGGGGTGAACCTTTCATCTTTTAACAGCTCTGTCCTCACTAATGGCCTTTTCGTTTACATTAGATACAAGTGTTTATCATGATCCACAATGCATGCCTTCTGTATATCAGTGAAGAAGATTTATGTCTGTGTAATATCTGTGGTTGTCTGATGCTGTATGTGTTTTTCTGATGGTTGTGTATATTGCTTTGTATGTACTGTATACTGTATGTGTGTTTTTGTTATTTGCATTGTTGTATTGTGTCAATGTATTTGTTTTGTCTGGCTGTGTGTGTGTGTTTTCTTTTCTTTCCATGAGCTGTATTCATCTCAGTGAGATTACCTCATTAAAGAGTAACTTAACCCTAAAGAAATTTTTTATATTATGAGCTGTATTCATCTCAGTGAGATTATCTCGTTAAAGAGGTAATGAAGAGCTAAATAACTTTTTTATATGAATTAATTATGTCACTTTTCACACTACCAGCTGATTGTGAGGACATCCAGAATTGTGTCTTTTAGTCCAAAGAATGAACACATCTATGATAGTGTATTCCACACACAAACAACAAGCTTTGAACCATGGTGTTGACTGAACATGTGATATGGGTGTGTTCAAGTGAAAATGGGGCATTAAGTTGATTTTAAGGAATTCATATTAATTTATGTCAGGTCAACTATTCAGGACATATTTGTGTTGAGTATCATTTGGCATAGGGCTGGATCTGTGCAAAATTCCACGTATGGGGGTGGCTGTTTTGTTAAGTGTCATTAAAACAATTAATCTTAACTATCCTCATGGCAGAGAAACTGGAATCAGCCAATATTTGGGAGTTTTACTTCGTAAATGACCGAAACAATTAACTTGCTGATGAACCAATTAATCAGCTAATAGTCTCCATCAGTAAATGAGACAGAAATTGACCAGAATCAACTCTAGAAAAGCTGTGCTGGAAACATCAATCTCTAAGCCTGTTCTTTCTTTATGCTGTGTCCTCAGGAGCTGGCTGACCTTCGCCACGTTCACGCTAAGCTGAAGAAGCAGTTCCAGGAAAAGACCGCTGAGCTCGCCCATGCCAACCGGAGGGTGGAGAGCCATGAGGCTGAAGTCAAAAAGCTACGCCTGAGGGTGGAGGAGCTTAAGAAAGAGTTAGGACAGGCTGAAGATGAGGTGTGAACATGGCTATATGTGTATTTGTGTATGTGATGTTGAAAATGCATGGCAGTCAGAGACCATCATGCTGCCCTTCACTTATTCAGAACCATCCTCTTGACTGTCCCACCAGTCCAACACAGCCAAATGTTCAGGTCTCTTTACAGGAATCGATTAAAGGAAATGCAACTCAACAAATAACAAAACAATAGTAAAACAACATATACAATGTGCATCAGGGCAAGCAACATGAGCCTCCTAAAACATTCCAAATAAACTTAAATTTGATTAAACACTATTGCCAGAAAGTCAACACAGAGATGAGTCGTCTTGATTATCTGGTTTGTAACAGTAACTCTACATAGTTCTATTTACAGGGCCACCAACTAGTTTTTGGATAGCCACTAGAAAACTATACATTTGGCTCCAGTGAAAAAACACATTTGTTACCTGTCATCTCATATATAGAATGATTCTATTGTACTTCCCCAGAGGTTACAGACCTAATAAAACATACTATAAAATGCTTTGATTAGACTGTTTGGTCTGAAGTGCAACACATACCAGCCACCTCAAGTAGCACTACCTCATTTGACAGCAGCACACAGCAGACACTTTTATCTAGGGAGAAAATGTGATAATATCACTGCTTTGTACACCTTTGCCACTGTGTGTGTGCTTTTGCATATTTAGTTGGACGAGTCTCATAACCAGACCAGGAAGCTGCAGAGGTCTCTGGATGAGCAGGTGGAGCAGACTGAGAACCTGCAGGTACAGCTGGAACACTTGCAGTCAAGGTAAGACACAGACACAGACACACACACACACACACACACACTGCTGCCAATGCAGGATTTTGAACAGATTTGAGGTCACTGTGCCAGTGGGAGCAGAGGAAGCATTCTTTACATAAACTGTTTAACAGTCGGATGGTACATTCTCACAGGACATGTGAACTGAATAATCAATGCAGGATTTTGAACAGATTTGAGGAAGCATTCTTTACATAAGCTGTCTCACAGGACATGTGAACCGAATAACACTCTTCATTTGATGTCATTTTCTACATTACACCTCTACTTGACATTATGCATTTGAATGACTTGGTTGTAATGTGTAATGGAGGCTAAAGTACACTTGGTACTGACATGATTCCTGGCTGTGGTGCATCATTATAAACCCATGCAGGGTCAGCTGGTTGAGGAATTTTCAAATAAAAACAATGTCTGACAAACAGTCATCTCCTTCACTTCTAATGGAGACTACTATTTAGTGCTCCTGGTAAGTGCACTAATTGCTGCTCTTTCAGGAACTGTTGAAGTTATTCTCTGAAAGTGGACTTGGGAGTTATTGCAGCAAAATAAATGGACACTAATCAGTTAGCATTAATGACCCAACCTGAAAATTTTATCTGCCAGTGGAATGTTTGCTTTATGTTTAGCTGATAGTAGTTTTTACTTGTATGTTGAACACACCCAGTACAGTGGCTCTCAGTGCTTTCATAAGGCAACACAAAACAAAAGTTGATTAAATAAAAAAAAGAGACAAAGACAACAATCTATTAATTGTACAGTACAGTATATTACATATATAGAGAGTACAATGTGAAAGAAGAGCTTTGCAGACTATTGCACTGGGGCTGTTTTCTGTATCATGCTATACAGAGAAACATGGATTAACAATTCATAAGAATGATGGCAAGAAACTGTCATTGTGTCTGGTTGTTTTGCCAGTAACGCCATCCAGAGGGGAGGAGTTCAAACAGTTTGTGTCCAGGGTGTTAAGGGTCTGCAGAAATCTTCTCTGCCCTACTTTTTACCCGTGAGGTGTACAGGTCCTCCATGGAGGGCAGGCTCACACCAATGATCTTTTCTGCAGTCCTGACTGTCTGCTGAAGTCTGTACTTGTCCTGTTTGGTTGCTGAGCCAAACCAGACAGTGATGGAGGTGCAGACAACAGACTTGATGATTTCTCTGTAGAACTGTATCAGCAGCTCCTGAGGCAGGTTGAACTTCCTGAGCAGGACGCACATCCTCTGCTGTGCCTTCTTGGTGACAGTGCTGATGTTAGACAACCACTTCAGGTCCTGACACCACAGAGGAGTGATGTAAATAGATTAAAAAGTACTGGCCCTAAATTTGATCCTTAGATCCTCACAAGCTACTGTATCTTACTGTGCTTGAAGAAGTAATATGAAAAACTGTCTGCCAGAGATAAGAGGAAAATCAGTTGCTGTAAAAACAGGACCAAGCTGTCCAGCATGATCCCTCAGTTTATTTACAAAGAAACTGATCATCAACTGTATGAAATGTTTCACTCAAGTCAAGTAGGGTAAAAACTAAAGGGTAAAGGGCAAGAGGATTGTTCATGAATGCGCACAACTCCTGTTGGTGGTGTTGTGTCAAAAGTGGACAGCACAACAAACTGCAACAACATTAATTAATTTGAATGTCTCCTCCATAGATAGGTAAACAACGGTATATGTACCAATGAAAAGAGATGTGTAACACTAAATAACTGAGAAACCCCATATTTTAACTGGCATAATGCAGTCATAGTAACTTCTCTAGCCTTACAACAATTCTCTCTAATGTTACAGAAACAAGGCATTAACGAGTAGTGGAAACATCACTCCCTTGCAAGTAGCTCCAGGGTTGGTAAATACAACCTGTGGTCGCTGCGTCTTCCCCCACACAACCACATACAGTCCCATAGTAGTGAAATTAATTCCAACGGGTAGCATAGCACCGACAACAACATCATGGGTCGTTACTACACTTGTTAACCAGCAACACTCACATGCAGGAGACACACTGGCCTCAAGCAGTCAAAACAAAGAGGTATTGTGCTCCGGAGGAATCCAGTGTTGATGAGCTGATCACTAACCACGGCGGTGGCTTCACTAGTGGCTGTTTGTAGGTTAAACCCAGGTAAAACAGTGAGTCCCTGTACAGGAACATTCCCAGACATGCAGTAACCTCAGGCCCTGTATTTTCCTCCACATCCTCTGGTTACAGTGGAACAACAGGAGGGAAAATATATCCACAAAACCGGGTGCAGTCAAAAAATCTCGCTTTTACAATGGCACCAGTGGATGTTAAGCAAGGTCACATGAATATGCAACTACCTGGAGATTATGACCATTTAAGCAGATCCTTAAACTATCATGTAACAGTTAATTCTGTTAGAAAAAAAGTCTCACGAATGAGAGTTTGTGAGACTTGTATAAACCGAGTTGCTTCTGTATAAAAATTCTAGAACATACTGTATGTTCACCTCATTTTTTTAGCTTTAGCTCATGTCTAAGATGATAATTCACCATTGTAACATTTTAGATAAGTCAGAAAACAACGACAAGCGCTATGGGCTCTTCAAGCGAGGCACACATGCTTTTGGCCTACTGGTGACAGTTATATCCAAACTAATGAATATGGCATAGGATATCATACTAATTAAAATGATAAAATTGATTAAATTGATACAGATCTTTGGTAGATAAAAAAAATCATTTGTTGATGCAGTGCTAACCCTAACCCTAACACCTAGGGTTAGGTATAAGGTAAGTATCTCGATGACCCTCCCCACTTCATCCGACGACTAGGTGGTTTGGACGATTAGGGTTCAATAGACCTAATACTTATCTACTCAGTACTAAAGAAGCTTTAAAGCCCATTAGACACAGTAATTCAAAATACCTACTAGAGAGTGTTAAAACCCAGTAGGCAAAACAGGTCATCTAAAATAGACAATACTTATTATCTACTCCGTACTAAAGGAGCGTTAAAGACCATTAAACAGAGTATTGCAAAATAGGACTCAACGCCTAAACCTAACCAAGGCCTTGGACACCAACTCCTCTCCCCTTGACCCAAACCATGCCCTTCCCTGACCATATCCGTTCTATATTCATGCCCTAATCATAACCTCTGACCACCCAACTCTATCACCCGGACCCTAATCTTAACCAATTCCGGTACCCTGGCCCTAATTTTAACCAATTCCGGTACCCTGGCCCTAATCTTAACCAATTCAGACCCTAAAATGCCTAAACCTAACCTAAAAGAAAAAATGTATCCAGCCATTGTTGTTTAATTAAATCTGTTTGAGGCTTTACTATATAATGTATATCAATATTCCATCCATCCATCCATCTTCCTCCACTTATCCGGAACCGGGTTGCGGGGGCAGCAGTCTAAGCAAAGATGCCCAGACTTCCCTCTCCCTACATACTTCCTCCAGCTCCTCAGGAGGGATATCGAGGGGTTCCCAAGCCTGCCGAGAGACATAGTCCCTCCAGCATGTCCTGGGTCTTCCTCGGGGGCTCCTCCTGGTGGGACATGCCCGGAACACCTCCCTAGGAAGGTACTTTTACCCCAACGATATTAATGCCTAACCCTAACCCATCCTTGGGCCCAAAATCCTTTTTAGACCCAACCCATATCCTTATCCTGACCACAACCACCCCAGGGTCCAATGCCTAACCTTAACCCCTGCCTTAGACCTAAATCCTTTAGGCCCAACCTGTGCCCTGGCCCTGACCATAACCTTGCCAAGCCCAATACCTAACCTTAACCTGTGACCTCCAAACTTTACAAAGCAAACACAACCCACAGCATGTAAACAAAACTACACCAGACAGGAAAACGCGACCACCACACAAAAACCCAGGGCAGCACACCAGGTTTCATTTTGTCCAATACTTTGGTTTATTACCAAGAGTGACAAGTGTCGGCCCGTGCCTTCACCTTTGATCCTTTATCCCAAACCATATAGTCAATGGACGATTACGGGGAGAGCTGAAGAATTCCCCTAACCCATACCTGTTAAGGCTGTCAGGGCAGAGAAGATGACCACATCAGAGAGCAGAGGCACTGGTGTTTCTACTGATTTGTCATTCACAAGGAGAATACAATGGAGAATGATTCTACTTAACATCTGCAAACCCAGGCAGTTCAGGTTTTAACCTGAGGAACCTTCCCATAAAAAATTAAAATTGTCTGAGTCTGTATGTGAAGGATTGGGTGAAGTATGTGCAGTATGTAGGCGGAGGAGTCTACGCAACCAGCTACTACTACTACTATGCCCCAGTGAGGGCATTGGGCCCTAGATGAAGAAACTTTACTATGCTGGCATTTAAGCAAGTTAACCATCTAGGGGAGTGTAGCTAGACCATCGGGCATCACAGGGTGGGGGTAGTTGGTGGGTTTGGCGCCATCATTTTGCAGCTGCACTGGAGAAGCCAGCCCTCTGAACTTTTCCAGCACAGCAAACTGAGCTGTTCTGATCCATACACTCAGAGCTGAGATGTTTGCCTGGGCAGTGGCAATTGAAAAAACTGTTCAAATTATAAAAAAGATAGGTTTGAATGGCTTTCTTTACCCGTTTACAGGTCACACAGCGTTTGTTGCAAGTTGCCATAGTAGAGGTTCTTGTGTTGGCTGCTTTATTAACTGTTGTCTGCCTATTTTGGTACTTTTGGTATATTTTAAGGCTATTGTTTATAGCCATCCTAGCACCAGTGCTCTAGGGCTAGTTGATCCAGTCTGACAACTGCTTAGCAAATATTTGATAATACTATGAAATGTACAAAATATTCAAGGTCAAGGATGGATTAAAGACTTTTTGTACCCTTATTTATTCAACCCCCAGCAGGTTAACATTTTTACTTAAGTTATACATCTTGACATTTACCAAATGATTCCCTAACCTTTCATCTAGCACCATCACCAGGTTTCATTTTGTCCAATACTTAGGTTTATTACCAAATACCTGCAAATACTTGCTGTGAACATTGTACTGTCCACACACACACACACACACACACCCATCAAGGAACATATGTGTGCTGCTAACTGTGTGTCTCAATTAAAACCGGTACCCAGTGCTGTCATATTCTTCAGCATTATGTTGCCCCCCCTCTCACCATCAGACTGCGGCGGCAGCAGCAGAGTCCTGGCCTGTTTGGGAAGATGCGATCGGCTCGGTTCAGTGCAGAAAACCTGGACGGTCTGACCAGTGACATGGATGAGGAGGAGGAGGAACTCCAAATCCCATGACATTCACAAACACGCATGCAGCAATACGGGACATACTGTAGTTATGTAAGGAAGCTGAATGTTGTTGCACTTGAGGAAAAGCTTTGTATCTCCTGGTAAATTGTTTTACAACAGGAAGCAGCACTGTCTTCTGTTCAAGCTGCAAGTTTTTAAAGAACCTCACTAATATTTCTGAAACATTTTACCCAGATCAAAATGTCTGTAGGGCAAAAACGCAGAAAGCTCAAATAAAAGATCAATTTGGTTTTCAAGAATTTTTGAGAAACCACCTAACTGTTCATCAGAAGTTTAAACAAGAAAAAAACTGATGTGAGTTTCTGCTGAGCAGCAATATAATAAGCACATACCTTATGCAGATCGCATAGACATGGCCAGACTCACTCATGCTTACACATTGTTGCATATCTGGGCATGCAGCAACAACATCGAAACCAGCAGGAGTGCGACAGACATTAAAAGGATGTCCAACCAGTGTAATATTGAATGAAAGGACCATGCTGACAAATTTCCACCAGATCACACTAGCAGAGGCCACAATGTCATCCTTTCAATGTACTCACTCATTCTTATCTTATATTATCACATGCATTACAGCTGTCTCGTCTGAACTGTGCTACTGTGTTCAAACAAGCCTCACCTTCACATCTCTAACACCAGTATTAATACTTTCCCATGTCTGTCTGCTATGAGGAGAAAGCCCTTTTGTGTCCCTCTGATCTTGAAACTGTTTACTGACAAGGGATATCAGTCATTTTAAGAACTGACAGGTTGCTAAAAAGGTCTGCACATTTTACCTAGTATTTGTAAATGTGAGTATTTTTTACCCAAATAGTTGATATTTTTCTGACAACCAAGACTGGTAGCACACTACACAACTTTTAGACTCATTATGGCTGCACTGAATTGGATAGAATTACTACCATAGTACAGTAAGTGTGGAGCAGGACCTTCCTGTCTGCAGGTTTTCTGTTTGTCACTCCCCAGTTAGTCTCTGCATTTGAGTTGCATTATGGGCCATTTGCACTGGGACTCCCAGATTCATGCTAAAGGTTTGGTATGGAATAATATTACAGGAGAGACATGAGTCTAAAACCAAGACCCAGACCTGACCCATACCTGTGCCTTTCAGACCAGGCAGACATAACCCACCTGGTACCACTGAATTTGAGACCTGAACTTGATCCAAGTCCAAAGCTATAGTTTTGTCATTTCTTCTTTTAATGATAATGTTATATGCCTGCTTGGGAAAGGCCTTCTCACACTTAACTAATCTAATAATGATAATAAATCAGCACAGAATATGGCACAACAGCCCACCAGTACCAAACATATAACTTCACCTGGCCAATAACCTGTAGGTTTAGTGGTGGTACACACTGAGAGGTGTGTTCATAGGCTTGTAATCTGATCTAATGTCACAGTCCTGTCTGTGAGCAGTATCTTAACGCTCCCTAACCCTATGATGTTGGTATGTATACAAACTCAACCAAAAACTGCACTTTCAGATGATAGAATTCTTTGTGCTTTGAAGCTGAAAACCTGGTGTATTCAAAATGTGAGGTTTAAGTGTTATTTCTCAGTCTGTGTAGTTATTATACTGTTGAAATGGAAGCTTCCTTTTCTGCATACACCCAAAAAGGTCCACATCCAGAAATGCAATATACAGACCAGTATTCCTGACAGCAAAGACTAGAAATGCATCCAAAGTTCTGCTGTTGTTCTGTTCTTAGTTTGGATGTGCAGTTATGATGTTTACGTGGTGTTTATACTGATGTTCAGTATTTTACATTATTGTAATTATGGGGGGGAAAAATTCCCCAAATCTGAAGTATTTATGTACAGTAATTCCCTCAGGGCTGTGTCTAGCCCTGGTGGAAAAGCCTCCAAAGCAGAATTTAGACCATCATGAGGTAATGAAACACACTAAAGCCAAGGCCAGTAAAACTCCTATAAGCATCTTACTTACTGTTTGCGCCTCTTTAAGATAACCCATGTATTCTACAGTAGGACAAGGTTTGGATACACTGGGTGGTGAACTGAATTTATTTTCACAAAACTGGGCTAAATTATCTGTTCATGAAAGAGCTCCAGTCTGGCAGTTGTGAAAGCAATAAAACATTTATTAATCCTCCATCAACAGTCACTCTCTGCCTCAGCCTCAACACTGGCAATGGAAGGGGACCAAGATATTTTTACTGATCAGGATTCTGAACTATTTATGTTGTTGTTGTTTTGGTTTAGTTTTTTAAATGATCTGTACCACAGTGGTTTTTGTATTAGCTCTATAAAAGTCAAATGCACATTTAAAGAAACATGAGTCAGTGTGTCTTCTTTTTCTCCATACTGCATGTTTTCAAAATGCATGTGAAAGATTATTTTATTTGTAGAACAGTATTCACAAGCTGGTAGCGCCTCAGTGTAACTTCAAACCTGTTGTCTTCTAAAGTTTCTCTTTTTGTTGTCATGGTAATGTTGGTAATGCTGATGCTTAGGTTTGGTTCATCAAATTGTAATTGCAATTCTAACATGTTTTGGGCGTGTTTATGAAAGATGAAAAAGAAGCAAAAGTGGACTGGGAGGTGAAACTGGTGTTAAATAAGATGCCAAACAACAATACTGTAAACCAGAGGTTAGCAAATGGAGGCACAGAGGGAGAGACGGGGTGCCAACAGCTGTTCTAAAAACAACACAAGGTTAATTATTGTTAAAAAAAAAAAACAGTCAGCAGCAGTGGCTGTGACACTGCTCAAAGAGGAAATTAATGTAAAACCCCTAGAAATAACACCCTCTCAGACTTACAACTCATATCTGCAACATAGACATGATAAATATTATTTTAGAATTAGTGTGACTTTTACAGTTGCTGACCTTATTTTCAGTCTATTGTAAATAAATATTCATAAATCTGCTCAGAAACCACAGCTGTTCATGTTTTCATCAGTGATCAGTCCACCCTGGACAGATTGCCAGTCTATCACAAGGCTGACATGTAGACAACAACACACACTCACTCCTACCGGGCAATGTAGAGTCACCAGTCAACCTAAGCTGCATGTCTTTGGACTGGAGGAAGCCGGAGTACCCGAAGAGAACCCACGCGGGCACAGGGAGAACTCAACACAGAAAGACCCTGGGTCAGCCTGGAGCTTGAACCAGAACTTTCTTGCTGTGAGGTGACAGCGCTAATCACTGTAACACTGTGCCACCCAGCCCAGGAGATAAATAGCTTAATTTAGCATAAACAGAGCAAGTATGGGGGAATTTTGGCTAGTTTTAAAATATGCCTACAGCAAAATAGTTACAGCACCTAATTTCTTGATAAGCACAAGTTGTTTTTATGTTTCTGTTTGAATAAGTTAAGCTAATCACCTCCTGCCTGTCGATCATTAGTTAACATACAAGCTTCTCATCTCCCTCTCAGTAAGACTGTTTCCCAAAATGCTGAGTTATTGCTTAAAGGCATGTGTAATATAATGATCAAATACTGTTAGTGCTTCTACTACCATTATATGATGCTTTAAAAAGCAGAATGAAAATCTATTAGTTCATAAAAGATACAAGACCTGAGTCTACACATATCAATGTTTCTTCAACACCACAAAGCTGATCAGTGATAAGTGAGCAGGTGTTAATATGGTAAAAATTATTGGCCACATTCGGTATTATTGTCCTCAACAGTGTCTCATGTGTCACAGTCTGATGAAGTGTTTGCTATTTTATTTTGCTGCAACTGTGCAGCCTGACAAATCTAAGTATATGCAGTTTTAGAGGTTATCACACACTGACATCTGCAGGGGCCACGTGGGATTACAGTGGGGTAAAATGGTAAATGGAAGCCAGCCCTTTGACTTTTCTCTTCAAAATGACAATAAAGGAGTAATTTACATATGACATATATGTGACTTCTGCAGAACAACAACAACATACCTTCATAGAAATGTACATGTCTCAAAATTATGGGGGAGGCGACAGTGGTGTGGTGGGTAGAGCAGTCGTCTCCCAACCAGAAGGTTGAAGGTTTGAATTCTCAGTGCCGGAGTCTGCGTGTCAAAGTGTCCTTGGGCAAGACACTGAACCTGGATACAAAATAGTTAAGCAAAGCTCCATCTCAATCAACTTCAACAGTCAAGTCCTACTTTTACCTTAGTGGGTGAGTGATAGGCTAATAATGTAATACTATAATCTACTGTATAATATAAAATCTTTCTACATTGAGTAGCATACTAATGCTTTTGAGCATATTTTGAGTACATTTTGTGTTCATATTTGCTTAACATTATTAATACATGACTTTTTGTAACAGACTTTTATGTAACAGAGTAGGCTACCTTTACAATGTATTGATATTAGTACTATGGTATGGTATAATGTAGCTCTCAGTGATAAAGAACAGGCCCAGGGACTACGACAGCAGGCAGTTGATGGTATTAAGAGCATAGAAGCTGATGGGGGATTAATTAGATTCATTTTTGAGACAATACTAGTACATAGGATATTGTTTTTTTCCCCCCAATCCTGGATTTCAGGTAATTCAATCCAATGACCCTACACACTCCGATACAGTCAGTGTCACTTAAACACTGTCACTTAAACAACTCAGTCAGTCAAGTCTCTAACTTCTCAAACCTTTGCAAAGTTAGTAGTGATTAAATATGGTGAACAAATTAACTGTATAAAATGACACATAACTTCCCATTCATAACAGTCAGACAAATCATGAGGTGACTGTGTTCCCCTTGTAAGATAAAAGTTCATGACAGAAACATTCATAAACACATAAATCTGAATTCATCACTTCCTAATCAAATACTAATACTTCCTAATACTAATCAATGAGCCCAAGTAATACTACAAATCACTAAATAAACCTTATCTTCCTACCACATCCAAAAGGAAAATAGAGATCAACTTTTATTACAAAGACAAACTTTTGATCTAACAGAACAATTCTACACTAAACCATCTCCCTACACTCTAAAAAACATGCTCGTATGCACTATAAGTACTGCTTTAGGATGACAGAACTCTCTGCTTTCTGTTTTCTAAGTTCTAATTTGCTAATTTGCTAATACTTTCCAATTTAACGTTTAACACACTGAAAATAAACAGTCATAGAAAAGAAAGAATAACTGACCAGGTGATCCTCTTTCCCCCACACATAACAGCACAGTTTCAATGACACACACGTCTGTACTGTAAAACAAACAGCTTCAATTCTACTACAGCTCTTGTTCACTCCACATCCAGACAAAAACCTGATGGGCGAAATTTCTGGCCGATCCCCATCCTTTTCTTTTGAGACGTAAAAACCCCAATGATGACGAATGCTGGGGAAAACCGTCTTCTTTTTGGGCGATCACCAACAAGGCCTGCAGTGAACCCGATTGTAGGAACCAGACGTTGTGTAAATCCTGAAACTGATTTCAAAATATAACATAACTGTAACACAAACATTTGTTATGTAACTAAACTACTTGTATAAAAGCTCTAACCAAAAATCTTCTGCCAAGAGATGAGCTGAGATGAAAGTACTCAGCGACAATTAAGTAGTGAATATATAGATTACAAGATACTAATAACTGTTATGCATGAATTGTGTACAGTATGAATATATAAAAATATAATGTCCAAGTCCATTGTCCTTTGATCAGTTCAGTTCTTTGCAGCTCCACTCTGTCACCATCTGCTTTCTTCCATCCTCACCGGCTGCAATGTCTCTCTCTCAACTTCTCTATGCATGCCTGACCTCAGTACCTCTGACTTGCACTCCCTCGTCATGAGGGTCAGATAGATGAGAACACAACTGGGTCATAACCAGTATTGTCATCAAGGGGAGCATCAGCTTCACTCGAACTCCCTCCTCATCCAAGGAATCCCTTGGATCACATCTTCTCGTTATCGAATCAGGATCAGCTCCAAGCCATCTCTGTCCTTGGGGACTTTCACACCATGTACAGGCCTCCTTCGCAAAGAGGTCTCTCCACTTCCGGGGCACCTTCACGTACACGACATCTCCTGCTCTCACTTTGGACTCTCCATCCTTTTGGGCCACCTTGTCCTGCAAAGAGGAACCACAAACAACGCAGACCACACAGGAGTAAATACTCCTGCACATAGTATTGACTAGTCTAACATAAAATCTCATTTCCCTATCAGGATGTCAAAACTTGTATTAACATTACAAAATAGCACTCTATAGACTACCCTTAAACCTCCTAACTTTAAATCTGAACAACCTTTTAACAAATGGTAAGAATTTGAAACTAAAATATTTTTATTTGGCTTTTCAGAAGGTGACAAGTGTGGGTTTAAGGGCAAATCTGTGACTTCTGTGGGAAAAGATTTTAACATCCATACATGCAACCCAGGGAGGGTTAACACACACTGAGCAGAAAAACACACAAAAACCAAAAGAAATATCATTTATCCATTGTCAATAAGAAGAAAAGTGTGTTATAAGCAGAAGAGTGTACTAGCATCTACATGAAGATATTACTAGATCTGAATAAAGCATCTAATTTAATTAGGTTGTGACAACTAACCAAAAGTGCAAATGACAGTAAAGTTTACCTTAGATCCAAGGTTACCTCATGAAGAGAGTCCTCCTGCATTGAAGTTAGTCACAAGATTTACAATATAACATGATGAGAAATAACCACTACATGTATCCATACATCCCCTTACATTCAGAACAGAGGTACAGTATCATGTGTTTGCTTGATTCGCTTTCCCATCGCCTTGTACACTCACTAATTTATTTGTCATAATATTGTCATTTTATCCCCTATCACATTGTGAAAATGAAAATCTAAACAACTGTCACATCCTTGCCATACCATCTTGCAGAACTACAGGGTCCCAACACTAAAACAATCAATTAATTAACCAATTATGCAATTGACAAAAACTAATCTACAACCTTTTTAATTCCATCAGCTGTTTCCAAAAGCTAAAGCTTCTCTGCTTTCTGTTTCTCAACCATTCACTAGGTTTCTCTATTTCATAGATCGGTGCATTAAGTTTATTGTTACTGAGTTAAAGAGTTTGATATCAGGACTTTGAGATCGTAGTAAAAATGACATGTGACCTTCACACTCTAAAAAAACCAATCTGGAATCAGTAGTGTCACATTAAGCTGAACCACGCCTAAAAAGAGAAGACAAAAACTAAATTAATTAGAATGTAATTAAAACATCATATAACCATGATCCTCAAATGATCAGCGTCCAAAACATGAAGGAACACAATAAACATGAATGCTAACTGAGCTAATGAGAAGCCACATTTCAATTATTTCAGGTAA